TTTAAGTCCTAAGTAGTTATCCTACTACTAATGACTAATAACAGCTGGTTTTCAGTACAGAGGTGAAAAACTACTCAGACAGGATTACTTAGACAAACCTCCCTCCTGAATGGAGCATTCAGACTGTCTTGTTCACCAGAGTTTATTTAATGTCCTGATGATTCTTACCATTCCCTGGCTGCTCTACTCATCTGTGGTCATGGTCTCCATTGTCCAGCTTCAATGTCCAGTCAACTACAGTACTAAAGCAAACCCACAGCACTAGGAACCACCCAAACACAGGGTTCAGGTCATCATTTCCTCTCTGTCATCTGCTGCAGTTTGACTGTCATTCCTCTACAAGGAGAAGATCAGCCCATCAGCCAGCATGGAGGATCACGTCTGGTGCTGTGCTGAGTGTCAGTGTGGAACTGATTCAGGAAGCAAGGAGACATGCCGGTTGGCTGGTGGCGGCTTCACACTTGTGACATAGAGCTCATGGGTCTTATGTCTGCCAACAGGAACCTAAATCAACCTCAGCAGTCTCAAACCCAAACTAACCCTGAGTATTAAAATCTTTACCAAACATTAATATAAGAAAAAAAATAATCTCTTCCTTTATCTCTCTGAAGCAACACTTTTGACACTATATACAACTGCTTGTAGAAGGTTTTAGATTTGCACTATTACTGTATACCAAGATGGAAGACTTCCATATATGTATGCTTGTTGATGTTTATTTATTTATAATCATATTTATGTGTGATCCAGTCATCCTCACCTTAGTAAAAACATTAAAGTAAACCAGAAGTGATCAATAAGAGGTAACAAGTCATTGTTACACACACTGCTTTTACTCTTATATAGCAGTTTACACTATTTGCCTTTCACCCATTTCCACACACTGGTGATATCACCAGGAGCAACTAGGGGCTCAAGGACACTTTAACTTGTGGGTTAGAGAGGCCGGGGATCAAACCACCGAATCTACTGTTAGGGGATGACCCCCTCTATGTGCTGAGCCACAGCCAGCTCCGCCACATATGAAAGTATTTATAATCATCTTGTAGTGATCAATAGGTGATAGTGTCTTTCTTTCATTTAACCTGAATGCATTGTATCATTCAGCCAACTTAGATTAGCTGTAGCCTGAGTAGTACACCAGAGGTCCTCAGTTTAGTGTGAAACTATTAACAACATAGCAGATAGTGATGAATAATAAAATGTAGGTTCAGCTGAAGGAAAAACAGGCTGCTTGTCCTTAACTAATGCTGATAATAGCATCTTAATTTGGGGGAAAGGATCAACACCTTGCTGTTTTACACCATGCAGACTGAGTCAACTTACGGTACAAATAACAAGTGAATACCCAGGCTGTAGCCATATCAGAACATCATTGCACAGCATTTTTTTGTGCCGGTTCCCTATGGTATATATGATACCCCATGGTGTCGTACAGCCCTTCAGCAACATGCAATGCAAACTAAAACTAATTTGGAGATTCATTTATTAATGCTTTGTTAAATTTTTTGATCCTATAGCAGTCAGTGAAAAATTCACTCCTAGCTGCCACTGAGATGTCCTGAACCAGTGATTCTCAAACTCAGCAAGGGGCCCATACTACTGATTCCATGCATGCCTTCTCTCCAAGTCACCTCCTTCTCACATCACAACTCTCTCCATTGCTCTCTCTCTCACACACACTAATTTAATGTTTTGTTTTGTGTTTTTCTTGCCCTCTAAGAACCTGTCTAAATGGATGATGTTGATGAATGCATGTAAAGGATACGCTGCAGGTAGGATATGGTTACAAGCTAAGCTGGGAGGGAGGGAGTTAAGGAGAAAGAGATGAAGGGATACAAGGGAGGAACAGAGGGAGGGATAGTTTATAGATGGGCCTAGGGGAGTGGTGGGGGTGTGTGGAGGGTCAGGATGTTTGTCTTCCAATGAGCCGTGACTCTGAGAGAAAGAGGAGGGGAGAGTGGGATGAGAGAAGAGAGGAGGGTGAGAAGAGATGAAGGGAGCAAGATTAAAGGAGAGTGCCACAGCATCTTCATTGACAAGACAGGGAAGGTGAAAAGGTGTCAGTTTAAATACAGTCTTATCTACCCAACTGGATTATTCCTCACTATGCAATAATATGGAATACTGTTTTATTCAGTCCTTTTTTACAGCTTTTTTCTTGTCAATACAAAAAAATGTTTCTTCAAGCGTGACTTTTTGTACATCTGTTTGTAGTTGTGGGGTAATGAGTGATAGAAATCAAAAGAAAATTGCAGATACAGGCAGATAAATGAAGAGCAGGGGTGGAAGTGCATGTCTGTGCTGGAGTGTGTGCACTGTTGCTTGGTGGGATTGTGGAGTTTGTTTATTTGTTTTTCAAGATGGCTCGTAAAATGTGTGAGCATTTGTGTATCTGCTAAAGTGTGTGGTGTGCATGCTTCCCTTAGGGCACATACAGGGCAAAGGGAGTGTGTCCATGTAGGTGTGTAAACAAAGTACAGCGTCCAGAAACACACACACACACAGTTCACTTTCGCTTTACAAACACATTTACACATAGGAATGCAGACTTAAAAACATTTTACCTATTATGAATCTACAATATTAAATTGCTGGAGTATTCATTTAATGTGCAATGCTAGTTAAATGTATGGACACACCACTGAATACCAGCTATTGACTGGTAGTGTGAAGAGAATATAACAGATATAAAAATGATACTGCCTTACACATAATAAGAAGAAATGGTTTGATCCACTGATGTCCACAAGCATCAGATTGAAACACTGATATGTCCTGTCAGTCAATACAGCTTTTATTGCAGGCATGAGATGGTGAGTGGGAGTTTTCTTCATCTGCAGTATATTAGACATGTGTTCAACTGTGCAGTCTGATGATTTATAGCTCAGCTAGTTTTTCATTATTCTACCAAACAATAAGATGTGCAGCTGCCCCCAGCTGCCCTTGAAAAGGGTTCCTGAAGTACAGCAAGAGATTGATGGAGCCAATGTATAACAAGATATATGGTGAGATTAAATACAAAAAATGAACAGGCATTCAGATATGAGCACATGAATCTCTCTATGTACCACTTTTCACACATAAAAATCACAGTGTGAAATCAATTTTTTATTTATTTTTATTTATGTATATAATTATCATATTAAAGCGAGTGTGCAAATGTGTCATCACTACAGTGGTGCTGATGCAAGATCAACGCCTTATGGGTTTTTTTGCCAGGGCACCTTGGCACCTGTTATTCATGTGTTACTGCAGCTGTGTTACAACTTCAGACATATTGACTGTAGCAGCTGCTCCTCCAAGAGTGGGTATGTTGTCTGTGTGTGTTCACATGCACACACATACAGTAGACCTTGTCAGCATGGCCATAAGGTGTTGTGTCGCTATGGTACAGCTGTGAATAAAAAGACAAGTGATAATTATAGATCTGTTGTATCTGTGCATCCCCTAGCAGCAACAGTTTTTTTAACCTAATTAAAACTTGTATTATCATAAGTGTGGCCACTGGTTTAATAAGTTAGGCTAGACTGTAATCATCACATCATCAGGTTAAATGCTGAGACATCCCAATGCAACATTGCTGGTGATTGGTGCTTTAACCATGTCATCTCAAGCACTGACTACCCACAGAGCAATAGACTGGCTCAGAGAACAGCTACTGTATGTCTGCACTGGAAAATGCCATAGCTAAAGGAAGAGCCCTTACTTGACCTAACTGCAGTAGTAGCGCACACATGTCTGTAAACAAGCCAACTTCTTCATGAGGAGAGGATCCATCATTACAACCCACAGGCAGACAACAAACATCAGGCAGCTCTAGAATCAACATATTCATTAATGTCTTTAAACCAGCTGCTATCTTTCTAGCAATCGTACATGCTCGAGACTGAGGGAAAACTCTCAGCTGCACTATGTGGACACACCTCACTGAGACCTGCAATGCACACAACAACCAACAGGAAGTGAAATCACACAAGAGTAACTCAAAATATCTGGGTGAAGGGTGTGTGTGTGTGTGTGTGTTTGGAAGTGTCTGGTTTAATGAAGCCCTTGGCATTTGATTGTATAGGTGCATTGCTGCTCCACTGAAGATGTGTAAAATAGTTTGATCATTCTCAATATTCACACAAATGGATACAAATATAGTTATAGGATGAGGAGAGGGAAGCTTGAAAAACGCAATGAGATACTGAGAGGGGTAAAACCCGAGCCTCATCTGCACTGCTCTGCTTTATGCTGGGTTCAGCAAGGCTGTGTTTTTCTATTCTCATGCAACAGCTCTCTTTACAGATATAAATCTCCACTACTTAACTACCAGCACTAAAACATCTCTGATTAAATAGCTGCAGACAGCTCCTTATACTGCAGGGTGAGACAGTGTCCTTCTTTATGGAGTGCCTTCTCAGATTTTATCCTGTCAGGTTTTGTAGGATTTGATCTGTAGGTGCAACAAAGGTTTACTTTCTCAGATAGGTCTCCTCTGTAATAACTGAACCTAAGTCAGTTGCTATGGGAATTTCACTATGTTGTCATCACTCAGTTTTGGCACACAAGGCTGTTGTGGGTGTTGATTTATTTGCAGACACATGCTGTTTCATCTTTCTTCTGTCTGTCTGCCTCTTCTTGCATTCCTCTTCTCTTTCTCGGCTTTCCGTTCAGTCTCCCTCACTTTTGCTCTCTTGCTGCTTGTATATGTGATGAAACATTGTTAAGTTGTGGTTCAGAATGATTCACAACATGAAGAGTAAAGTAAACAGAATGGAAATTAACATAGGGAAACTACATTTTATGACCCATGTTCCAAACTGTGCAGTGTTTAAAAATTCCTACAGTTCAGTGTGCAAGCCTTTCACAACTAAAATAATACAACACATCCAGTGTTGTTTTAGTATCCTACCTTTTCTCAGAGGAGCCAGGAGCTTGTTGTCACCTCTGGAGCAAAAAGTGGCCCAGCATGCGTTGTTTTAAAGCTCCTCTGAAGCCACTGTGAAGGCAAAAGACCACAAAGATCATATATATATTCCTCCTGGCCCAGAGCACAGATGGCAAAATTGTTTTTATCTTCCAGAACTAAACATGACAGTAACAGTGAATTCAGCCACTAGTCTCATTTTGTAAAATAAATAAATAAAAATAATATATATAGAATGTGTAATGTCATATATTTGTACAACGTGAAATTGTTAGAGGGAATGAGGTCGAGCCATGTGTGAGTGTGCCTGTGTTTCCTAAACCACATCCTACAGTATATTTGGTTCTCTCTCTCTCTCTGACACATACACACACACACACACACACACACACACACACCTCTCTGTGTTTGCCACCTGTTGATAATTTCAAAATTCCAGCAAGTTCCACATTGAAGTAAGCATGAGTAATCTATTGTGAAGATGGCTGATATCGACCATATCCTGTGAGTGTGTGTGTCTGTGTGTCCTCCTGTGAACAAATCCCCTGGCTTTGAGTCCCTTAACATAGTTCTTCTGTTCAATTACATTTTCTACATGAGTGGAGCCAAGGACTGGTCGGTGCCAGCCCTGGCCACCCCCAGAATCTTACTGGCCACACCTGGTGCCACCCTTGCCAGAGTCAAAATGGGATGCTTGAATGTAAAATGAAAAACAATGGCAAAATGTTGCGTTAAATACAACTAACATTTTTCTGGTGCTTTATAACTGATACTGGTCAAATTACTTTTATTTGATGCCATGCATGATATTTGCATTCATTTCTCAGACTGTATTGTAGAGCAAGTGGGACGACTGTGCAGGACAGATGTAAATAAGGAGCCCAGCCAAAGTTAGCTAAAGAAAGCACTGTGTGTGCCAGTTTAACACAAAATAAGCAATTTGATTCTTACTAATGTATGGTTTATTATTTTATACAACTAGGGGTTTAATTTTCTTTTTACATGCATTTCAAAAGTGCCACCCCTCTCTGAGGCTGTGACCGAGCCTGGCCACCCTGTCCAAACCTTTTTAGATCTGACCCTGATTTCAAAAGGTAAGTAACAACATGCATAATTGTAAACCACATATCATTATACTTACAGTAATCTAAGGTCAGTAGTGTGAAAAATCAGAGCCAGCTCAATTCAGTTACACTGAAGGATGGGAATATCTCCTGGCAAGCAAATTATCCAAATGCAACTGACCTGCCCATATCACTCATTTCCATCTACAATTCCTCAGGGTGCCCAAATCTGTGCTGCATTAGTTCTTCCCAACAGCCAGTCCCACACTGTGTGCCTATATATGTGCAGAGAAGGTTGCCCTTTGAACTGGAGGAGTGTTCCTCTGAGGGGGGGTTCTGTACTTGTCTACTAACTGTAGGATTCTTAAAGGCTGGTCTAAGTAAACTCAGCCTCTTCCTGGAGTTTAGGTTCATTTAAATACATTAGAACTCATTTTAAAAATGTTATTTAACCACTTTAACCAGGGGCAATCCCACTGAGGTAAGAAACCTCTTTTACAAAGGAGCCCTGGCAAAGACAGCAGTATCAGAAAAAAACATTAGGACTCATGTCATTTGGGAACGGTGCTGAAGGTATTTTAGGCACTGAACCAATGTTAATGACACTGTTGTTCACAGTTTTAAAATAACCCAATCACATTATAGGATGGTTGAAAAAATGCTAACAGGAATCAGTGAGGTAATAATTTACCTTTGGGAGAATATATCATGTTTAAAAAAAAAAAAACCCTCTCAATGCCATTTGGAACTCACTAAGATGGGATCCTGATTGCGTGATTCTGCTCTGTCCTCTGTCATTAATAAAAACAATTGAAACCAAGGAAGATGAGTCAATTTACCAGATTTTCTGCAGTTTCTCGTGCATGTGGACAATTCACATAGCTATGAATTACACAAAGTTTGACAGAATGACTAACTGTTCCAGGTCTTCCACAGTATGCTCTTATAATGAGACAATGATTAGTAATAGTCCATTTTACAAGAGCATAAATCGAAGATGTTTTCTAGGGGAGTACAAGAAGTGGTTTCAAGTGTTTTCATGGTTGTTTTCGGGAGTTTCCTTCTTTGGTTCACCACAAAGAAAAGAGATTTCAAAAGAGATTTTGAAATCTTGTAGCATTTCCACTGACCATACCTATTGTATGTCTGTGTTTCCCTCCTCTTCTCATACACACTGAGAATGCTGGTGCAAATAAGTACACAAAAAAGACTGCAATATCAAACTATGACAACAGTCTTTAGTTTTAGTTGCTTAAATATAACCAAACTGTAGTCAGGCTTGAGGTGTCACGAGTGGATATTTGTGGCATAAATGTTGCAAAAATCATTTTGCAAACTTTGTATATTAACTTCGAGTTTATCTTTAAAAAATGTTGGTAGCATTTTCTATATATGTGTAGTCAGAATGGTGCGCTCAGCTCATTCAGCTTGATTTATAAAATAACAGCCCAGTGTCTTGCAGTTAGCCCACTTTTTCTTTTATACAGAGGCTATATCACTGGCTAAAAAAGCCACTGTATGTAGTCAACCCTCATTTTTGGTCAGATGAAGGATCATGTTTTACTGGCGTCATGTGCAACACATACGTTCGACCATGTGTGCCTTCCAGCTACAATCCAGTTCTCTGTGGGTAAACACTGTATTTCACATCGACTTCAGGGATGAAGAAATGTCATTTCCTATGTGGGCACTAATTACAATTTGAATCACAAATTATGGGAAACATCTTAGACAACAGACTTTTACCTCACCATAATTGTTGTGGTTCATATTGCTGATTTTGAACCATTGTGTGCTTGTCTTTTCAGCTCAAAATAAACCCTGCGTGACTTGGTCCATGAGATCAGACCATAGAGAATGCTAAATTACAATCAGATCAGCACTACACTTAAAGCCTTGAACATTCAGAGACACAGTACCCTCTGTAATGCTTATAGTTTAACTTCATTTTACTTTTTTTTTTATTTCTACAGCTACAGCAGATGAGCTGCATTGTCCCTGCTATGAGCTTTGGGTTTAAATATCACCAGTCCTTGAATCCTGCTGTTTTATGGATCTTGGGTATTTTTATATGACTGCTTTTCAGACATGAAATGGATTGTTTGTGCACAAATAATCAACACTTGTTAATTTTTAGAGCCGCTGGCCTCTGGGAGTACAACTTCTTTTTTTTTTGTTGGTTACTGTAACAATGTCTGACTAAGATGAAACAGAATCACAGCTGTGATACATTACTAATGTTACTTTTTTCATAGACAAATATATTATATAATGTCTTACAGGATACCTCACTTATGGGGCAACATAAGCAGCAATACATCTGTTCAGTTTATTGAACATCTAAAAGTTGCGTGTAAAAATATGTTTTTTTCTCTGCAGGCAATGTCACCTGCTCTGAAATAATGTATGTCAACTTTTTATGTATTGCTGGGAAATTGTGTACAGATATTCATTGTCCCCAGAGGATGAAACCTACTGACTAGAGTGACAGCACCACCATGAGTTTGGAAGTTTCAGTCTTTAGATGCCATGAAACACCCATTCATGTTATCCACAGGATGAATTTTAATAACTCGTATTTTTTCTCATTATCAGGTCAAAATTTTATTTTGTCCAATACTTTAGTGTAGTATCAAATAACTGCAAATCTCCCTCTTAACATGCTAAACTTAGAAACTCAGGAAACATTTTACCTGCTTAACATTTGTATGTTAGCTGCTAGAATGACAATACTTAGTCTTGTCCATAAGTCTCAGTTTTGTTTGTATTAGGTGGAAGTTGTCTGGATAACTGCCCATGGTTCAATATGGAACAGTTAGTTCCTGTGGATCCAATTGCACATACAGTTTTGTCATACTGTAAATTATACTTCCCCTGCAATACGATCCCTGAATCCACTCAAAACACTCTGGAAATAGGCAACATACAGACCTTATCCATTAGAAGTGTTCCAAGTGTGGTGTGTTTGTTACAGGCGAGGCATCACTCCAGCGTCTTAATGTTTGGAACATCTGAGAAGCTATTTGTTGACTGTTGAAACCACACTGTCTCAACATTTCCTGAAATCAGCAACCCGACTTTAGCCACTGGTAACTGAGTGAGCAGAACAGATGTGGCAAACAATTATCTTTGCTGGAAGCGGGCAAGAGTCCTAATTTTTTCACTGGTTGGAAAAATGTATGCATTGATTTGTTTCATAAAAATACAAATTCTCTTTTCAGCGTGGTTTGCTGGGGTTGTTCTGCCTAGCTAAGAAGTGAAGGGGTAAATTGTACTTTCACACATGTTTAAATTCAGGGTCTTTCCATTAGGACCCCTTAGATTGAGAGGAAATTGTTCACTAGAAAAATAAAGCTCAGGCCATCTGCCTTCTTTCAGTTTCTTGAGGCCGTTCCTAGACCATGTTTTTGGTAAAATGTCAACAAAATGATTTATAGTATTTGCATGATAAACTAGATTTTCCTGAGAGATGCAGCTTTGCAAACGTTTGATAATGATTACAGTATTCTGTATCTCTCACACATACCCACACCTACTCTAACACAGGCTGTCTTTAAGGGGGATGCCTGACACGGGTCCCTGCAGAGCTGAATGATCACGGGACAAAAGTCGAGAGCAGACAGGCTGCCTGCTAGAAAGAAAAAGCAGAAAGGGTTTTATCAAGCAGAAAAAGAAAAGACTCCCCATGCAGATTAATAAAATAACCCCGAGGGTCTTCTATACACACCCTGATCTGCACTCCCTCCTGTTCCCCAACAGAAATATCACACACACACACAGGGAATACCTGGGGTCTACCTCACCTGTTGCCAGGCAACAACTGATGAGAAAAAAAGCCAGTGGTGTTCTGATGATTAAAATTTCCTGGGTAGCAGTGTTTGATCCCCAGTATGCTGTCATTGTCTCTCCACGGCTTCATAAGAAACCCAACACTAGGGTAGCAAGAGAGGGAAGAGAATATATAAACTTTCTCACTCTTGTCAAGAGGTGGCTGGCTTTGCTCACTGA